CTATAGTGACGAAGTAGTAATCTGACACGTAAACGTCCCTCTGGCAAAAAATCCCTATGACGACTCGGCTACGCCGAATCGGCCACGTCAATTCTAACGTAATAAACCCTGCCTGTTGCAGCCATGTCCTGTCTCCCCGGTGGTTCTGGCCGAAAAAGGAATCCACCCGATCTCCCCCCGCTGAACTGAAGGAACCACAACTATTCGCCACGTTGTGGATTCTTGATCCAAACAGCAGTGTATCGGTCTCCCGAGAACGTTCCGATGGAAAGGGGAAGAAATGGTTGGGTATTAGGCTGAAAGGAAATCACTATTCATGCAAAAAAAGGTTCTTGTCGTAGCCGCAAAGACATGAAAAAGAAAAAATAAGCAACTCTTTCGGTTCCTGTACAAAGAGCCCTTTTTAGGCCACTGTCTTTATGTCACTACCGAAGAATTTACACAAGTACAAAATGTAACGAGGTTCACTCGTTTGGGGTCAGAAGTGACAGAGAGAGAGAGTAGAAAAATTTCTGCCTAAACAATTTCGGCTGATCTAAGGGAAGTAATTTGGGGATCTTCGTCGGAGCGTGTAATTATAGCAGTTTGATTTCTCAGCTTTGTTGGCAAAATTAACTGGTTTCATACAGGGTCTGTTTCTATTTCTGGGTTCGGATCGGACTTCTTGGGCGCGTGACAACCAACCAACCGGACCAGCAAATTCCAACAAGCCGTCTCTTCCCCGGTTCCGCGATCCGACTAACTCAAGCGTGCGGGCAGCTTATATAGAGAGAGGTGGAGCTAAACCATCTTTAGACACCGCCCCCGAATTTTAATATGCAATCACCTTTGACCACCATGCAAGCTTTTCCGGTCCCCGAAACACCGCGGGAACCCAGTTTTCAAGAGATACTAAAATCGGATTCGGACCTCCTGCTGGGTCTTCCGCAGCCAACGTCTACTTAAGTTTTGCCAAAACCACTTATCCCGTCTGGTTGAATTCCGCCATTCAGACCACCCAAAAGTCCAATTCGCCATTTATCACAAACTGTACTTTAACGAATCCGTCTCTTAATCACTCTGGAATGATTACATTTAATTAACTAATAACTCAACCAGAAAGAAATTATTAAGAGAAAAAACAAGAAAAAAAAAACAACTTAATTCTGGAATTACTCCGGAATCTCTTCTACCCAAGTAATTAGCACCTTTATCCTAATTCTTTAGCACTGTTGATTACTAAATCTACCTCGTGATGGAGGGGTCTCTCTCTCTATGTCACACAATTCAGCGACGTCAAATGGGATACGCTTGAACGTCCAATTCCCGTTTAACTGTACAAGGGCAGAACGAAAGACAAAGGTTTTCTGAAAATAACGTTTAAATGAAGAGTCGCAGGATCAATCAGCAATTAATCAATCAGAGTTAACTAATTACGAGAGAGTCAAATGATTATTCAAGATCATTAATATTCAAGAAACTTATTCAAGGTCAAATATTCCTGAGAGATAAAACTGATAATAAATTTTCTGCTTTTTTATTTGGCACCCTGTATATCATGTCTGTTGGTCTTAATTTATTTATCAATCTCTGTTGATATATCCCAGATAATAACAACTTCAACGTCTTCTGTCGCAAATGGCAGCTCGTGTTCATAATCTTTATCTTTGATTTTAGTGCCTAAAGATTGTCCCCTGAAGATATTTTGTTTCTCTGGTGTGCCTTTATTATCTTCATGTTATGCCTCTCCGACATTTAGATGTTTCGTATCACTGAAAATGTATATATCTCAGTTCCTAGCTGCAGATTGGGGACACAACACTTTCCTCAGCACATAAGCTGTTCATAGCAGCGCTGCCCACCAGAAAACACCCAATTATTTCAGGCATCTCCAAATATTCCTGAAAATATTCCCCAGTACGCCAAATACAAAAGGAACAACTGGAGCTGCTGACTGGTATATTTGTCAGATTTTTATCTAGTTGTATCTTCTCCTGTTCTGTCATTACGATGTTCTTATCCCAAGGTACTGCAACTTCAATCAGGATCCGTTCATGTCTATTGTGCTATGTGATATCAGGGCGATTTCTTTCCAAGCGCAGTGTCAGTCAAGATTGTCATATTTCACATTACCGTCATTTGCTCATTCCCGTCTACTGATGGTGGTGAATGCTCGTTCTACGTCTCTACACACTCTAAGACATAGTTCTTGCCTAGTTTCCAGTGTATTCTGAAGGCTACTTTTCTCGTGGGGACATCTGTACTCTTGTCGTTGCTCTTGCTGCGGTTATTTTTGTTGTTATTCTACTTATTATTATTATTATTATTATTATTATTTCATTTGGTTCCTGGTGTATACTAATTTCAACCAGAGACCTAAGGTCAGAAATGGCATCAACATGGTTTAAAAAAAAATGAAATCCCACATATTTTTCGTAGATAAAGCCCTTCGTAACTTGTGGGCTGTACTTGTGAGTAAAATTTTGTGAATTTCTTTAAGACATAGGCTATCAGGAAACCCTTCAATGAGTCTGTCGAAACCTTTTCCAATCAAACCGAGGGCTCCAACTACAACTGGAATTTTTGATGTCCTTATGTCCCACATTTTAGAGATTTCACTTGTATTTTGATAGATTTTTTAAAGATCTTTAAAGATACATTACAGTTTGCAAGGGCTGCCATGTCAGTAAGAAGGTACATGTTTTTGTGGTCTCTGATTACGATGTCTGGGCGATTAGCGATTGATTGTTCTGCTTGTATTGCAAAATCCCATAAAATTGTTATCGGCCCTATCTCCGTAACCGGATCGTACTGGTGTACATAACAATTTATTGCAGTTTTCTTTTCGTAAAAGTTAAAAAATTTATAGTGCAGATATTGGCCCACTCTGTCATATTATTATTAATAATAATAATAATAATAATATTTTTTTCTTGGCTACAGGTGTAATTTTCTAACAATGTTCTGCCCTTTGACTGTCTTCCCTTTAAATGAAAATTTAATATTTATCTTTTAGTGGCTAGTAAGTTGAGAGATGACCGGAAATGTATAATTGTTTCCCTTGCCTCTACGCCTTTGTTTAATGAATTCTTTGATAGTCTCCCTGCCAAACTGGAGTAGAAGGTCCAGCCTACCTCATAAAATTTGATAAGTATCTGTCGTTGGCGACGGAAAGTTGAATATTAGTGGAAAGTCACTTGTACCATGCTCCGAAAATGTAAGAAATGGTAAATGTTGTACTATTTTTCAGTTATACTTTTCCTGTACTTTGATATGATACTAAATCCTTTTGGCTCAATTTAACTTTAATTCTTTCATTTTAATTTCCTCATTATCTTTCCTTTACCCTTTTTTATTATTGTTTTTTAATCCTGAATACTAAAATGATATATATATATACTGATATTCCCCCTAGTTAAAACTTACTGAATACAATACACTATTAAGAACTATTACCTCTTCGATATATTAATAAATCCACATTCTTACCAATCTCATTGGTTGGGCGAGCTTTTGGGTCTTCTTCGAGAGTCGTCCTAAAGCTGAACATAATTACCCGTTGGTGGTCAAGGTTAAAACGTAAATCTCTACCAATTTCAATGAATACGAATAAAATTTTATACCGGATCGGTTGTCACCCGGGTCAACAAGGGCCGCGTCGCTCAGAGAGGAACCAGTCTGAGGACGAAAAATCTGTCACTGAAACAAAATCTTCCACACACGAAGAGACACTAGGTCACCAAACCCGGACTATTGCCAACCTTGGACCAAGTGACTCAATACCAAATCAACTAATAAAAAGAAAACGAATGAAATGGTCTCGCGAAGAGTATCGACAAGTCATGACATCATTCTTCACTGCATTCGAAAACCCAACAAAGAACACCACGAATACCAAATATGGAGAAGTATGGTGGGAAATGATATAAGACCTAACCTCTATCCAAACATGCTTGCCAATGTCTGTAGGGAAAAAAGCAAAAGACACTCAAAGGCAGAAATAGATAAGATAAAATTAGATACAAGACCAAATACTATGACCCATCACTCAAACTCTAATGCGACGAATGTAAAAATAAGGAATGTGACAGAGGATGAGGTAAAACCTAAAACAAATGAATTACGAAATAATCTCCCAGGAAATAAAATCAAAGATTCTACCTTAAACACAACCTACAGTTCTCCAGACAATGTCACTGAAGATGACTCCAGGTACATTAAGTTAGAATTCCTTGAAAACCACAAAACAGAGTAACTTTCATACAATTATCAGACAGAGACCAGCTCCCCAAAATCCATATGACGAATTCCAACAAACACGTTGTGAAAATATACAACTCTGTTCTGGAAACACTGTTAACAGATAAAGCACCGGGAAACATCACAGAAGTTAACAACGTCATATACGCAACAGCTTTAGCAGCGACTCGGAAGCTTGGGGTCAAGACAATAAATAAAATTAACTGATATACAGAACCAGCTTGTAAAACAAAACTGATAGGAGAAATAAAACAAATCAGATGGGAGCTTTCTATATTAGATGAGCTCACCAGAAACCTAATATTTCCATACGCAACATTAAATCCCTGACATTCCATCAATCAAGGAAATGCTGAAGCAGAAACTTCAGCTAAAGGCACAGAGAACAAGACGATACGAAAAACGTTGTAGGTTCTATCGCCAAAATAAAATATTCCAAACGGACCTTAAGAAATTTTACAGGGAAATTGGAAAAACACCTTAACATGTCGAAAGGCCACCATCGATTGTACAGACATTTTGGGAAAATATTTGGAGCAGCCCAAAGGAATATAACCCAAATGCAGAATGGATACGGCGTGAAGAAGAACGACCGCTGGATACACCTCTGCAAGAATGGGATAATATATCCACAGATGATGTTAGACAATCTCTAACGAAATACCAAAAATGAAAATCCACAGGAAATGACAAGGTGCCCAATTTCTGGCTTTATCATCTCTTTATCCATAAAATCCTTGCAAAAACATTATCAACGCTTG